GATGGTCTCTTGTGATGAGCCGATGGACAGAGAATGGAAGCAGTAAGCTTCCTCCCATATTTGGGCATACCAAGAGTTGTAACACTTAATACATATACATACATACATACATACATACATACATACATACATACATACATACATACATACATGCTATTGCTATTGCTATTGTATTTGCAGCCTTGAATTGTACAAAATAAAGTCAGGATATAAATCTAATAAATAAATGTGCATTTCACCACAATTGTGTAAAAATGTCATGGGCCTTTCAAATTCAGAATGACTTGACATCTAAAACAGAACAGGATGGATGTCATAGCAGCTGAAGCTTTACATATATATGTGGCACTAACAAGCAAAGAATAGCTCAAAATCAAGCGGAAAGGATTGTAAATGTTGACACTGAATACTGAGATGACAGAGTAAACTGGAAAGGTTTTCTCCATAGTTTTTGGCACATTAGGAGCTTTGACAGTAGAATTCTCCAAAGAGCTCAAAAATCATATTTATCCTCAAAATATTCAGCTTGAATAAAACATAGTGTTGTTTGGAATTCTTAAAGCACCCAAACACCTAAACATGATATGATAAGAGAACAGAGACGCATCTCAGAGATGGGACACATTGCTTTGTTTCCCCCTTAAGGAGCCATGGTGGCACAGTGGTTAGAATGCATATTGCAGACTGACTCTGCCCACTGCCAGAGGTTCGATCCTGATGGGCTCAAGGTTGACTCAGGCTTCCATCCTTCCGAGGTCAGTAAAATGAGGACCCAGATTGTTGGAGAGCAATAGGCTGACTTTGTAAACTTCTTAGACAGGGTTATATAAGCACTATGAAGTGGTATATAAATCTAAGTGCTAAATCTAAGGGCGAACTGGTGCGAACCGGCTGAATACCACCTCTGGAGTGGCCATCAGAACTTCAAAACCAAGTTGTGAGAGCTTTGTTCTAACTTGACAATTGCTAAATCACTGCTTGAGGACTATCTGTAGTTCCATCCAAAAATCTTCACAGAGGAGATGTAATATGTGTTCTGAACTCACAAGCCTCAGTGCAATTCTGTGGCAGATTTGTAAGGAAATTTGCTTTTCCCCATGCCTACTTTGGGCACAGTTAAGCAACCGAAGACTTCTGAACAACAGTTACTAGAATCCTTGTTCATTGGCCTCTTTTGTTTGGTGCTAATGGGAACCGTAGTCCAACTCATCTACCACCCTGTGGTCTAATCCGTGTTCTCCAGCAAGTTAAATTGAGTTAAAACATTTCTCATTGATTTCTCATTATTGTTTCCAGGCCAGCTTGATTTATAGACCCCTCTTTAAATGTTATAAGGATCATCCATCTGCTTCTTTTATGAAACCAATCATCTATTTATTTGCATTCAACATAGGAATGTGTACTGTTTTTGAAATGTTATTGTGTTAATAAATCATTACAATCCCCCCCCCAGGGGTTAAAAAAAATTGAAAAGCTAAACACAAACAGTACATTGCAGTAATTAAAATAAAATTAAAACATGATCAATATGAGTTGCTCAATTTATTTTAACCATATGTTGTAACAGACTCAAATGTTTTTCTTTCTCCTAGAATGTATGAATTGCACAAAGCTCACAGATATGACTGAAAGGCTGACTATCTTGGAAGCCAAAGTAAGTAAATTATTCAGGAAACCATTTGGATGGCTGAGAATTTTCCTTGCCTTTGTCCTTCATCTACCTGACTTCAGCTGTTCTAAAATATCCCATCCCATATTTCTGGGGCATCTCCCCAGAGCCTCATTTGAAAGACTTCAACCATTCCCCTTTAATGTATGAGTAGAAAAATGCTCAGAATCATAGAACTGGTCAAGATTTCAGAAGGCGTCTAGTTCAGTCCACTGCTTAATGTAGGATCTGAGAAAACATTTTAATCAAATCCAGTGTCTATCTCAGGGGTGTCAAACTCAATTTCATTGAGGGCCACATCAGAGTTGTGTTTGACCTCAGGGGGTCAGGGGGGGCCATGGCCAGGCTGGGCATGGCCAGCTCAATGTCACTCATGTCAAGGGCCCTTATTGCGGCCTGTGCGCTTGCGGCCCTCCCGAGCTCCATTTTCACTGGCAGAGGTACTGCAGGCCGGTCCTTCGCTGTTTCTAGGGTAGCCTTGTGGGCCAGATCTAAGCACCCCGTGGGCCAGCTCCAGCTCCAGCTCCCAGGTCCTGAGTTTGACACCCCTGGTCTATCTGAAGATGACCACTAAGCGAAAGGAATAGGGCACTTTATCATTGAAGATGTGGATTGAATGGCATTGATTCTTTAGTGCCTCTTGGCCTACTGATCTCAAATTGACAGTTGGGTATAGATAGCATTAAGGATTGATTGTCCATCCTCTTTTTATCTGTCAGGTCCCTAATTTGAGGACACTTCCTTTTTCTCTGCTTCCAAAATGCAGTGTCAGGCAGTGTTAGTTATATTCCTTTTAGAATCTTTGGCCTGCCACACTTTCTCTCTCTTTCTTTACTATGCTGTTTCATTAGTGGNCCCTTTTCCCCTTTTGAGTTGTTCGCCGCCCTAAGTCCCTCCCGGAGAAGGGCGGCATACAAATAATAAAATTAAATTCAAATTTTTTAAAATGGTATAGGGTCTCCTGCTTGAGCAAAGGGGTGGATTAGAAGTCCTCCAAGGTCCCTTCCAACTCTGTATTCTGTATTCAAAATAGGGATAGATCATTGTGGAGAAAATTGCTAGGAGTTGAAAATGACTTGATGGCATAGAATGGATCAATTTTAGAATTGTAATCCAGAAAGTCCTTAAAGCACCTGGATGCAATGCAGCAATAATGGAAAGCAGAATCTGCTTTGCTTTCCAGGCCCTTTGAAGTAAACTTAATAAGGCATCATCTAGAAGGGTTGGACTACAACTCACATCGCATAAGATGAAATATGAGACAAACTGCAGGCCATCTAATTTAGCAAAGACTGATGCTAGAATTGCTCAAAGATTACTTTTTGAAAACTACTTCAAGCCCCAAATTGGTTGCTCTTTGCTGACACCTTTGAAGGATTATTAGGCACAATGTCTTCTGCTAAAGATTTACAGTATGTTAGATTAACATGACTGAATCTTCTAAAGAAAGGCAGGTTTTATTTTGTTTTTGAAAAAGGTTTCCTGTTCTATAGCACCATAGGAACTCAGCAGCTGACTAGCTATTGTTTCAATTGTGCAAAATTAAAAATTATCAAATTGAATACAAAACAGAGCCAAAACACTTTGTGCCAAAGTTTATTTTCCAAAACCTGTTTCATTAACAAAAATGGAGTCTATACAATAGTCTCAACCACTTCCTTGTTTTATATGCTGTCAAGCCCATTAGCGCCAGAATCTTTGAAGTGTTAACATGGCAAACAAAATATTTCAGAAAAATAATGGGGGAGGTGTTTGCTTAAACTGAAAAAGGTTTTGATGGCTAGATGTGTTCTCCAACACTTTTGTAATCTAACATGAGCTGGGCAAAATAAATACTTTGAGAAGTTCAAACAGAAAATTACAATATACTTAATTATATTTCAATGTTGAACAAAAATGTCAACTTAGAAAAACATTTCAAATATGAAAAAATACAAACACTTTTGCAGAAATTCATTAAGCATTTTCAAAACAAAGGTTACATTCCTTCAATAGTGCCTTACAGACACAAAAAACATCTTGGAATTTTAATTGTACTTGGATTTTAGGCTTACAATTACTTCAAATAAGATCTACATACAAGTATCAATCCTGGTAAATTGCAATTTACAACTAAATGATTCAAGTGGTTTTCACTAGAACTACTGTATGAAGTTCACAATAATTTCAGTTACTGAATGAGAGAAATCGGTGTGAATAACCGCACATTTCTATTTTATTCTAATTGAACATTTTGTTATTTGGCTACAGATACTCAGACAACATTCAATAACTTTATCATCTGTCACCCAAGTAATATGGCAACTACTGCTGGTCTTTGTGTTCTAAAAATATGCATTTTGGAGAACCAAAGCAAAAATCTTATAAGGTTTTCCACTTACTGCCTTTGTATTCAACAGTTGGGCATTTTTTTTCTGATTATCATTGGCTTCCTATAGGCAAGAGCTGTAGGATAGCAAGGAGACCTCAAACTGCAGGATTTACTTATAAAGTATCTTTACCTTTATTTCCAGAACAGGTTTGTAGCAACCAAAGTAATTGTACTGGTAGTGCAGATACGCATGTTGTAAAAAGAACAACAATGGCTCACAGGTTAGCTAGAATTACAAGACGGACATTCCGCCACAATTTATCCTGCTTCCACTAATATTGGATGTGGGTCATTGGCTCACCAAGTTCACCGACAGAACGGACAGGCAACATTCTCTCTCCTTGGCTGTGCCAATCTGCTTTTGCAAGGAGGCTGTCTGGCACCGAGACAAGCACAGGAGGGGTTCTTCACCAGCTGTAGTTGTGGGATTGGCTTAGCTCATTTTTCCTGGCTCTTCAACAAAAAAAGGCCCTACAAACTAGACACCATGAGAAATGTGAGTTGCATTTTATGTGCTTCTAAAGGGGGGAAGGGGGGAGAGTTTAAGGGGCAGAGCTGCTTTCCTAAATACTGCTATTTGTACAGGGAATTTTGAAGCTTTTGGCAAACTTGGGGGTTTCACAACAGAATCAGTACCTAGCCAAGCTTAGCTGAACTAAAAAAAAACCTTAGGGTCAGTCCTTGGATGTACTAATTAGAAATTAGAATTAAAAGTCATCAGGTTGTACATTAGATAGGAAGCTACACATACAACACATCCAAATTAGGCTGCCACTTCCACAAAGCTATCCCAAAACGTCTATTTAATCTTCAGGAGTTAAGAGTGACTCAAGGGATCTTTACCTTTTAGCATATTTTTCTTATTTTGAGCAGTGCCTGTGGGGCAGGTCTTTCCCTCCTCACAGCCTATCAGTATTTTGATCCACACCCTCTTCTACCTGACAACTGTTTAAAAATGAAAGTAAGAAACCTGACCTTTATTATTTCATTTGCCCTTCCAACTCTGCCAATTAAACATCTACATCAGTGTTTCTCAACCATGGCAATCTTTAAGATGTCTGGACTGCAACTCCCAGAACTCCCCAGGTAGTTCTCTGGCTAGAAAATTCTGGGAGCTGAAATCCTCCCAGAATTTGCTACAGTTGAGAAACATTGACCTAGATAGAGAAGCTCAAACAGAGGTCAACTGCCAGATACACGACAAATGCCGAACTTGCCCCTGCCATCCCAAGTGAACAGAGCACCTGAGATGGGGGATCTCCAGATCTTGCTCAACAGGAGCCCCCATCAATCTGAGTAATAGTAAAGGATGCTGTAGCATCATCTTGGAAGACTATTCAAAAGCTCCTCACTGCAAGCTTGCTGATGGGTGTGTGTGTGCTCCACTAATTCATACCTGGAGAGTTAGATCAAGGCTGAGCTACTTTCACTTCACTCTTGCCTGTTTAAATGGGAATCACATCACAATCTTTTTCAGCAGGATTCAAATGCCATTACTACAGTCTGAGTCCAATTCTACCCATGACCTAAAATCTGCTTTAAACCTTAGCTAAACCACAAGCTTCCTACGGCTTTTATAGCAAAACACTTGGGGGGGGGAAGGATAAATCAGAGTAACAAAACTGCTGCATGACTGGCTCAGGAATTCTGGGAGTTGAAGTCCACAGGTCATCAAGGGGCCATAGATCCCCACCTCCTGCTCTAAATCCTACAACCATTGGATACACGAATACAAATACATCCAAAGATTTACCAGTTTTGGAGAATACTACAGAAACATCTGTGAAAGACTGGGACAAAAGGAGAAGAGAGACTGCACCAGTTATTACAATATTTAAAATGAGTGTCAGACAGCCGTAGAGAAAATTGAGTGACACAATACGTTTTTCAATTGGTACCTGACAATCAAGAAGTCAGAGTACACCAGAATCAGAAGCAACCTTTCTATTTCTAAACATTTTCTAGAAACTGCAGTGAAAACATGTAGTTTCTCTAACTCAAAAATATAATCTTTAGAATGGAAATAAGTGAGCAGTACACAAAGCATTTCAGCATTATCCTCAAAATGTAGACTACTTGAGGAGAAAAGGATTCTCTTTCATTACAAATAAAAAGCACTGATCCACAGTGCATTCTACTCAAAAGCTGATATCCCAACAAATTCTCAAACCACACCTGAAAAAAGAGCAAAACAAACCAAAAAAGCAAAATAAAACCAGATTCTGTACACCCTGTATTCAATTTTAAAGATAACATTTCAACACCCCCCCCAATAGTCTTGCCTTAAAAAATGGTACTTATCCTTACTATATACAGAGGACTAAAAATATGTATTGTTCTTTGTAAAATGTGTTATTTAAAAAGAGGAACCTTCAATTCAGAACAGACTTTTTCAAGTATGACAAAATCTAGCTTTCCCCCCAGTTTAGGGCTAGCAATGGGATGAGAAGGACAGTCTGACTGGAATGCCAACATGCCAAAGGGAACAACTGTTGGGGAGGGGGCGAAGGTATTTAGAAGATGGCCCAGGGAGACGGGAGAGAAGGCAAAAGAGAGCGGCTTCGGTCACTTCATTTCTGGATGTCATTTTAAGATAGACTATGACCACATACATGCCCACCAGCCTATGAGAGATGATGTCACCGAGCATGGTGCTGAAATAACACACTAGGGTGCCCAACAGCATTTTCTAGAATCACACTCAACTTCCTAAAAGCCAGAGAGCAGCACAACAATCCCCAGCTCTGCCTAACAGCTTAACATGGAGCTGTGGCTGTGCAAAGGTCCCACCCAAGCATCTGGCCATCTTCAGATCCATCCTGCTTCTTTTGGGAAAAAACTCAAAACCCAATGTTCTGTTAGTATTGTAAGGGGGGAAACAGGAAATGACATTGACATACAAAGCCTTATTAATGTATGTATGTGCAACAGATACCTCCTTTTCTTTTGATAAACATCATCTTTGAATATCTGCAGGAGTTCATTTTGTTCTACTGTCTTCATTTTGGCAAATCATAAAAGCAGTATTGACAACTAAACCCAGGATGTCCCAATTTCAGACTGAGATTACTTGCAAATACGTCCTGCTAGACTTAACTGATTTCCCAGTAAATAATAATGGGCGGCATAAAACAGGCACATTTGTCTTAATTTGGGTTGGTTTTTCCTTTTTCTTTAAATAAAAACCTTAAATTCACCACTGGTCTAAAAAGAACATTGTAACAGGAAGCATTCCCTCTCTTATAGCAAACATTTGAGAACTAGAAACATTTGCAATAAAAATGTTAATGAGTGAAACATTACATTCATTACATTAATCTTCTTTAGCATCACCAGTATGTTTACAAGTATGTGTTCAATACTGGATAGGCAAATGCCAATTTTGAACATGATTTTTCTCCTTAAATTTTATTATTTTTATATACTTCATTGCTGTGGAGCACACAGGAACACAAAGATGGAACTTCCTGATCCCTCTTTAAAGCAGCAGTGTGTTTTCCTGAGGCCATGAGCAAGAGCCACCACACAATCCTGCAAACTCAAGTGTTGCAGCCAGGTGTTGCATTTGTGCACCGAAGCACCTATTGGGATTTATTCCTGAAAATCTGTACAGCCCTAATGATAACCTAAGGCATTTGAAATCAGGTGTGTTGCGGTCTTAGTTCATGTGCTTAAATCTCAGATTGGAGTGTTCCTGGATTTAGCTGGGATACAGTTGATGGATAACATTCTAGGAAGTTCACCTTGATCTATAAATAAATATATAAAATCAGGAAGAGGGGGCTGTTTTTAAGTATGCACAACATATACACTTACTGTCCAACGTGTCAAGACCATTCAAATATAACAACACTAAAATCACTGTAAACAACCTTTAGCCAACTGGAAGTTGAAAATGGTACAGTTGCCTGTACAATGGTAATTTCTGGCATGAAGACAGAAAATTTCAACTGCGGCAGGTGCAAAAACACTTGCAATAAAATTAACACTGACCACTTACCCAGGTCTACTGTTTTGTTTTGTTTTTTAAAGATCTTGCAATCTTGCAGCAAGGAATTGTAACGCTGCACCTACCATGAGGAAGACAGGAAGATTCCAATTTTTCAATGCAGGGGTACTTCTGCCAAACTGTTTTTTGAGCGCAATTCCTGTCCTGGAGAGTCAGCTCTTCAGTGCAGTCATAAGCACTACCACCCAGGCCGTGGTGCTCTAATGCCAATTTTCCCACTCCCCTCTCTTGTGTCAGTTTAATGGGAGGAGGCAGTTCCAGGACACAGTGGCTGGTCAGGAGATAACAGACAACTCCCACCTTGTCTAATTAAAGGTCTGGTAGCTAAGCAATATTATTTAAACATCACCCAGAGAACTACATACTAAAGATTACTTCCCATTTCAAAGCTAATATTTACAGCTGATACACAACGAGGGACAGATGTGGTTCGAAAACCACTGCTTGACAGAAGAAAAGCAAAATTGCTTATACTGTCTAAAATCAGCTAAAATATAATCATATCCAGGACTTGGATATGATAAAAATAGAAGCCTCAAATTAAACCTGTTAAAGATGGGATGAAATCCTGATAGAAATCGCACAGTTCAAAGGCGTAAAAAAAACACATCACCATGTTATCAACTGCAGCTCACGGACGGTGCTATTCACAGGGCCAACTGGACACCATGTTTATTTAGAAGATCACTGTGGAGAGGTGAAAGGAGAATACAATCTTTTGCGTACCTTCTGAGAAAGAGGTTGTTACTGGTTGTGTGTGAACTGGTTAAAGGTTTTGCAGGCACAGGAGGTTGTGCATATTCAGCGTGGCTGAGCTGCAAGTACCTTAAGCTACAGAGAAATTAAAATCTATTTTTATGAACTGTGCTGGACATGAAATAGAAGGAAGAATTTGTAAATATCAGAAATTTTATACATCAATATGTTGCAATGGGAACATTGTGGTTATTATTTTGAATTATTATAATTACAATAAAATCAGTAAGTACACATAATATTATATCAAGCAATAAGATAACATACTTTCATCTGGAGAGTTGCTCTCTTTCTCTCACTGATGACATGGATATTGCAAGATGTTCCTTGCTGTAAAATTGCAGCCAGTAAATTTAATAAATTAAACATCATTAAAATTCCATGATTAGACAATCATCTCAGGGAGTTAAAAAGCTTGCTGCTTATATTATGGTTCACATGATCACAATGTCTGTGATAAAATATTTCTAATTATAAAACCCATGTTATTTAAAACACATGTACTGGTCTAAACTGGATTGAAAGAGTGAAAATCGATGGGAAGGCGAGTTTATACAATCTTATATGAGGATTAGTTAAATTAATGCTTGAAAATATCAATTCAAACAAATCCCACAAATAAATTGCTCCAGCTTATACAGGGTCAAAATAAATACTGGTTTGGGGCAAATCTGGAGAATACATTAAAGTCAAAAGCCCTTGAAAATTCACTTTCCACATTTAATTACATGCATCCAGTTTACGTCTTTGTCAGTACATGTTGAAGATTTGGTCTAAAACATTTTTTTCCACTTGCACATTTAATCCATACAAAGTTAGTGGTTACAAATTGCAAACACATATGTAAAAAATGATTCTTTCCTTTAAAAAATCATGTTTAGCTTGACAAAACAAGTATATCCTTTTTGAAGCAGGCTTTTTTTTTACATTCTTGGCACAATATTAACAAACACAAAAGACACGTATAGAGAAAAAAAATGGTTTTCTGAGTTTGAACATTCTAATCTGCAAAAAATGTTTTTTTTCTTTGTAGTTGCTGTCAATCCCTTTTGCCTAGGAACAAAACCCACAATTTGGCAAATGCTTGAAAGAGCAAGTTCGATTGCCGTATCTTAAGAATATGTGGCCAAAATCTAGGGGAAAATTCTATGAAAGAAGAACCACACTAGTATCATTTGATATCTTTTGTCCTGTTATTGCTGTGGTAACGGGCCTAACACCAGAAGCCTGGCAGTGATATAAAGGAATCAACTCTTCCATTAATTAGAACTCTTCTTTGATTTTAAAAAGGGATTTTAAATCCAAATTTCTTGTAATTCCCCCTGGTAATACATGCTGAACAAGCTGGGTCAATTCCCATGGTAGTTAATCATTATTGTTATCGTCACCATCATCATCACCACCAGTTTTGGAGGAGAGTTGAAAATTATGGACCATCAAGCTGTATCATCACATTATATACGCTCTCCTAAACCGCAGTAACATCTCACATATTTTCAGGAATAAATAGTTTGAGCTTTTCAGTACAAAAGAAATTTTGAGCTGTATGTCTTTAAGCAGTAAATATTCATATTTTGAATGTTACAAAGATAAACGACAAAAAAAATCCTGCAATTCTGGAGAAATTCCGTCCTTAAAGGTTTACACATTATTTACAATTCTTTCCTCTTAAAAAACGTTATCTTACGGGCATCTTTTCCTTGTCTCCCTTGTTGACAAAAACTAGGCTATGCCATGGATGGACCATTCAGAAATCCACCTTTACAGTTCTTAAAGTGCACCACGGAACGTGATGAAGCACAATGAAAAATGTGTGATGCCCCTTTTTGGGACAAGCAACCTCTCAGATTTACAACTTCTGGCTGACCATTTACTGGGTGTTATTTTTTTTTTAAAGCCAGGATAGAAATCAACTCTCACCAGAGTCAGAAACAATGCTACTCGTATAAAGTATTGCAGCTGTTGCCATTCACACCAGAACCTCACACATTGCTCAGTAATATGCTACCCCGGCACCCCTGGCCCAAGTGTAGCCCTACAGCTGGGCTAAACAATCCCTCTGCTTGGATGCCAATTAATTTGTTTTCCATTCATGGCCAATTCAATTAATGCTAATGGCCCGTTTAATTAAAATTGATTCACAGCATCGGAAAACTCACAGTATAAAACCTATGAATCAGAAGAAGCCAGCCTAGTATGAAGAAAAACAGCTTGGTTTCCTAAGATAACCAGCTTTTTTCACAATGCAGGATTTACTCCTGTCCGAGTAGTTACTGTTTTGGGTAGTCCTTCAGAGTATCTAAAAAGCTTATTGCTCAACTTTGCTCTACAGTGCCCATGATTACATCAGCCACCGAGTTTCAGGGAGAAAATAAATAGAAGTTTGAGGCTGTCCACTTGCTTACTACAGGCTCAAAATTAAAAAAAAACAAATCCTTCCAAGGATTCCTAAGTAAGCTTGTCTTTAAAAGCAACAAAAAAGTAGGATATTCTTTTTGAACCTGGATGACCTTTAGCTTCAAAACACTTAAATGTATCGTGGAAAACAGTCTTAACCCCATCCAAACCCACACATGATTTCAGACCATAGGGACTGTTATAAAAAGAATCTCTAAAGCACAGCAATTAAAAGTAATTTTATAGTATACGCGGAGCAAGTATGAGCTCTGGCAAAGGCTGCAGTCTGAAAGTTTCATCTTCTCTGTACCAATTTGCTTGTCAAAAGAGTCTTGTTGTTTTGGCAGGTCTACATAAACTGAATCTGTAACAGAAGAAACAAAGCCAAATTAAAACTATTAACAAATGGACTCAAGTTATTCAGGAGTTTCCAAAAAATCAGAAAAATTGAGTTAAATGAGAGTTGCAAAACATTAACGTGTTTTGCCCTTGCAATGGTTTTTAGCACCACCAGATAATGATAAGAGTCACTGCTGAGAAAGGCCATAGCATTTTTAATTTTTTTTAAATATATCACTTTCATAAGACTGTTTGGTTCAAAGGGAAGTAGAGATGAAGGAAGCATTCACCTGCCAAAGGTGCTTTTCAAAAAGCAACTAGACTTATTTGCCAAACTAGACATTCACTTGCCAAATCCTGAAAAACAATCCTGAAGGCCAACTTCACGTTCTAATGGCACTTTCTGTTTTTCACATCTAGCCTCCGTTGCAATGCTACTCTTATTACTGATTATGTGTTTCCCTTTCAATTTTTGTCTCAAAGCCATTGCAAGTGTTTTGTTCATTTCCACTATTTCCATTTGTTTTCCCTCAGCTCCTCACCCAACTCTCCACAATCTGCAAACCAGTCAGAATCTAATTTCTTGCTATCGTTTGTTTGATGTCTCAACTTGTGAAAGGCAGGTTTTTAATTTGTTATTGTTTTTCCTCTCTTTCTCTGCCTGGGTTCTCCTGGGATTTTAGGATTCTATTGTTTCTTTTTCCTCTTCTATGTACTGCTTTTAATCCACTCATAATCTCACTGTGAACTGCTAACCAACTCTTATTTAAAATCTTTCCAAAAAATTTGAATGAGCTAAGGACCCATCAACAAACCACTAAAGGGGTTGTGGCAAAATGCCAATAGCAAAACATTTTAACATTCACATTCTCCTTTAGGGGGGGGAAAAAAACCACCACTAACCTGTGTTCCAGAGATAGGTGCAAAAGGATTGTTTGGCCTTAGACCAGTCTGGGTATAAATCATGGGCTGAGGAGTCATAATAGGGGCAGTTCCAATCTGAGTAGGTACCTGAAGATAGAAGAATGAATGAAGTCATTTGTTGCCCTCTCAGCTTGAAAAATCACAATGTAATTCAATGTAAAGTCACAAATGTGAGCTAAACAATGGAATACAGCAGGGATCTCCAGATCTTTCCCAGCCAGGGGTCATGCTGTCTGGGGAATTCTGGGAGTTGAAGTCCACAGGTCTTAAAGTTGCCAAGTTTGGACATCTCTGCTCTACAGCATAATCTTCCATTCAGGAGACACCATGAGGATTTTCCAAAGGACCATCTTTGCACAACTCCTGGAACAGCTGCTGCATGTGCATTCACTAAAGGTGACACCCTTTAGCAGGCCACCACTGCACAAGAAAAAGATAGCAGCTCTTCTTACTAGTTGTTCAAGGATAGTGAAAACTTTAGCAACCGTCACCTTCATTGTCTTTTCTAGTCTAAGTAGAACCAAATTGTATTTTAGTAACTTTGTTTGAAAAATTAAAAGGGGGGGAAGGTATACTCATATTCCCAACATATAGTCATGATGACCACCTATCAGTCCTGAACCTTTGTACTGTACCCAGAATTATTTAGCTGTGTTAGTTGTATTCATAATGCCCTTGAATGGCATTCAGAAGCTTCAATTAGCACAGGATGGAGCTGCACAGATAATAAATGGTGCTGGTTACTCAACACGTGAACCATCATTAAGCCGAGAGCTGCACAGGTTGCCAGTATGCTTCTGGGTGCAATTCAAGATGCTGACTGTCATAGCTTGGGTTACTTGAGGGATCATCTTTTTCCAGTTGTTTCCACCATCAGTCTAGTAGAACAAGGATGCTCCGAGTTGGTTAATAAGGAATGCTGGTTGGCAAGGTGTGCCTTTTGTGTCTTAGCACTTGCCCTATGGACCATTTCTCCTCCAGGTATTAGGATGGCTCCAACCCATCTGACAAGGCCCCCCAAATGTGTGAAGGATCTGATCTTCTGTTTGTCCTAGCATCTTTGTATCTGCAATGGTTTTTTTAAAATGTTTTAAAACATTGTTTTAAAAATCACTTCTTGAGATAGCTTTCTGCACCAATAAACAAATAATTATATATATCTGGGGTTCAGTCAAGATTGAATGATCAACATGGCTCAACAATATTCAATCTCATCCAAATATTTATACACCGAAACGTCTGTGGCATATTTACTCATTAGTTTTGTTTTGATCATTATGGGATAGTCAGGCAATATTTAATCTTTGTTTCTTATTTAGGATTTATAAAAAAATCCTAGCACAGAGAAGATGTTAGTTTTCCATTCTGCAGTTTTACTGTTCAAATATGTCTGGTGCTTAATATAAAGATCATGAATCTTGCATAAACTTCCTGAGTAAGCAGATGCTACCCAATGCAGAACATGTTAAGCCGTCAGGTGCAAAAGGACCACATGTGAAGTTGCAATTAAACATTTATTACTCTTGCCTGTGCACAGGAATCTACTCAACTACTGTTTAGCACTGTTTTGGCACTTTAAAAAGTTAAAGGAATTTAAAGTGGGTTGGACTTAGTCCGTTTGAGGCTACATAGAGATTCTAGGATGATTCCTTTTTTAACTCTGCCTCCGCATTCTGTCACTCCTTCTCTACATAACTTTAGAAAATCAGACATTAAATCTGGGGGTGGATGGAGGGGGTATCTCTACCATATAAAGATAAACCTATCAACCCTGAATAACTTACCATTCCATACACAGGCACTTGAGGTGTATTTACTGGGTAGGTTACTGGAGCAGGTACCTTTGATGGAAGAATAAGAAGAATCTGCATGTAACATTTAACTATTGCCTTTTTTGAAACTCCAAACAAGCTACTTGAAAGACATATTTTAATAAGTCTGGTTGAAGAAAAAAAAACCTGGATCATAGCACAGAAATGGGGAAGGAAAAGAGATACGGCCAAGGCTCACTCCTTTAATAGCAAGTTACCATTTACAGTTCTGCAAGTTGAAAATAGGAAAAAGTGTCAAAAGAATTTTCAGGGTAGTTTTGCTAAAATCAATCAGCTTCTTTGCATTCTGGCCAACATTAAGCGTACTGCAAATATGGAGAGACTTTTCTTCTATACGCTATATGTAAAGTTCACATTTTAAAAGCCAAAAATTAAAATAAATAAATACATAAATACTGCCTTGAATTGAAATTTTTTTTTAAAAAAAATAATAATAAAATGTAAGCACATACCATC